TTCAAATGTGTAACGGGCGACGACAGAACCACGGTGCTGGTGAAGATGGTTCTGCGGCAATATACGGGTGTGACCTTGTGGTTTGGGTACATGCTAGAATACATGGGGCAGGCTATAGCGGGCTACTTATCAGGAGGCCGAGAAGCTGGAGAAGAGAGAACTTCACTGATCTGGTGAAGGAGTTCGGCATTCCCTGCAGCAGCTCCCGATTTTTAATCCATGGAGTCGCTGTCGAATTCAAGGTTACGCAGTTTCAGTGAGCCCTTTGAGAAAATTGCTCTGCAGCAAATCTAAGTTGCCGGGGTGAGATAAGCAATCAAAGGGTGGAGCGTTTGAAGAGTGTCTAGTTGTTGCCTTCAGTACATATTGTAGGGGTCTGGACTGTGAAGTCATGATGCCTATGCATTCACTGAGGTGGATCCTCATTTTGATAGAAAATCAGCAGGTGCGTACTGAGGATGATCAGTTTCAAGTAGTTAGTTGGGAGATCTAAACTTAACTTCAGGGTTTCTGCCATCGGCATTCTTCGATGATGATGATGACGACGATACAATCGGATAACTGGCACATGAAAAGAGTTCCAATCCACCGAGAATATGGATCATGGTCCATGATCTATATACAGTGTTGGTCCATGATTCATGGACCATCACTGATTGAAGGTTCTAGAATCAGCTACTTGAAGTTCAAGATGATGTAGCTCATCTCGTGGTCTTGGAAATCCCAACATGCATCGTCTCGCCGATGCTTAAACCATGTACTCGAGCAAGCAGGAATGCCTGAAACGCTCCGACGGGAGCCAAGATTATTGTGGACCTACTGATGATAATGTAGCATGATGACAAAAAGATCCACTCGTATGCGCTGGTACTTACTGTACATGCTCGAGTGGACTATATTAATGACATCAATCCAGGCCTCGACTCCTAACGGTCAAGCTTAAATATATACCTTCGTCTCAAGTTTGGCTAGCGGCAGCAATAGAGCGATATATTTTTTAAACATTGACCTTCATTCTACTGGTTACATATACTCTGGAGGAATTGTAGTGACGAGAAAGAGCCAATACATAGACATAGGTATGAAATGAATCTCGCAAATATGCTTATATCAAAGAACTCATTTGCCAGCTGGAGACTAAATCTTTCTTGTTTGGTAAAACTTCATGTTGCAGAAGTTGAAGCTTTTGATAGTAAAAATTATCTTCATAGCTCGACATTTTTATTATTTCAATCCAGATAATATTTCTGTTAGATTTTAATTTTCGGAACTTATACCTCCTCAACTGCTTTTAATATGTCTACATTAGCATACTGATAATCATAAAACAACTTTGGAAGTCTAACCTATAAGATCAAAAAATGAACCACTTAACATAGCTGCATTAAGATGAACAAAGGAAAAGATACAAAAAAGAAACTGAGTAGAAGTTAAGAAAAGTTCTTCCTTACCATACACTCTAATTAAACTACAGGAATTTACGTCAATGAAATCCTAATGCATCCATGAACTTGGATGAGAAAGTACTATGCCTAACTTAGTGGGAAAGTATATCATTCCAGTCTAGCATGTTTTATACCATATATCTAATACTCACATCGGCTTCTTGCTGTGATTCTTATGCGCATATTTATACAGGCCTCATAAAGTCTGGCATTTACCAGATTCGCCAGACTTGAATAAATTAGGGCAAATTTTTTAGCTTAATTCTGGCATTTTTGGCATAAAATTTTTTTTCCGATATTCTCTTTACTCTATTCTTTGTAACAATATATAAATTCTGAACCAATTATATTGTTGAAAAATCCGTTTGATATATATTTTTTCTGAAGTTTATTACAAAATCATAAAAATATTAATAAATATATTACTCCTCTCTCAGAATTGAAGATATGATATGTTTATTATTGCTAGATTTTTGTACAATTTGGTAAATCACCATAATTCAATAATTAATTCACTAGATATATTTAAGTTATTTGTTAAGTAATTAAACTACACTAACTGAGAAATTTAGGAAAGCATTACATGTAATTTTCTTAAAATAAGTAAAATAAAAAACTTAAGAGAATAGATCCCTCAGAATATTTCAGATTTACATTTTTCCATTGCAATGCAGTTTCACCATCCACTAAATCAAGAAAAAATCTGGAAAATTGAAGGAGTAACAGGAATTTTGTTCACATCACTTGTGTTCCATAATTTAATTAAAAAATTTGAATTTGATTCAGAATTTCTCGTGATTTTCCTGTAAATTTCATGAAAATACTATAGATTTTGATATATAATAATTTTTTATTTTGAGAAGAAAATATACCCTTTAAGATTTTCTTTTCTTTTTTTAAGATTCATTTTTTAAACCTTTAACCATTTAATCTATAACTTCTTTCAATACAAATAAAAATTGAACACACATGTACATGAATGGAATATATGGTCCAAGATTATGGTATAAATAGTTGGAAAATTTCTTTGTAGTCTATGTGAATAATTCATAAGAAACATTAACAATTTGTGGTTTGCAGATCATTAAAATACAAATCTGAACACTAACTATTAGGCTATGTTCAATACATTCAGATTTTTTATTAATCTCAGAAAATTCTAGATACACAATCAAGGTGAAAATAAATATTCAAGCAATTTCCTATTCTCTTTTGAAATTGTGCAAAATGCACAAAAATATCCAGCGCTTGTGCGTAGATGGTCCGTGTCCCGCCTATATAATAAAATTATGGCACTTTGTCCAGTCTAATTTTGGCAAAGTTGGCATCTAAAAATAAGAATCCAAATTTTTATGAGGCCTGCATTCATATGCTCATTAGATACCATAGATTCATCAATATGTAGCTCCCGGTTTTATCAGGCTCATGTACTAGTAGCATGATTACATGCATGTATAAGAAGCTGGTGCTTCACATTCACGGCATTCCTCACATATATCCTAGTTGTCGTCCGATGACTACGGCCAGTAAACCTCGTCTTTTCAAATTACCACATAATCATACCCACAATGAGTTGAAACTTATATATGCATGTTTGGTATGCCAACCAATAGCACAAGCTACCTTCTTTTAATTAAGTATAGAAAAGGAACTCTTCTGGGAAGATAGTGACAACTAACATTAATTCCAGAACATTCTAATTTCTGCTCATATTTTCAGGCTTCTTGGTGTGGACTAACTAATAATGTGTCATCACTGACTTGCATCGGAGTTGGCTGCATATGTATCAGGTAGAACGTATTGAGTAACATATTGTCATCTTATAAATGAGTTTCTTGAACTGTAGTGTTTATCATCAGGATCTTCAACAACTTTTCTGGTAGGGAAACACTTACAGCTTGTCAAATTATTAGACGTTTCTTGGGCCTCAGATTTCATCATTAATTTGTAGATGTTATTAATTTCATCCTACATAATCATTTCCCTTTCACTGTCTTATCTTTAACATCGACATGAGTTGTTGAGTACGCTTAGAAATCTCAGGTGCTGATTCCGCTTAAATTCCCAAGCCCTCACGCATTTCTAGCAATGGAGGCCCCTGAGGAAATAACTGGAGCATGCTCCCTCCCAAGAACGAGAAGAAAAATTGTGATCAAGATAAGACCAGATACAAAATGGAAAAATGCAGAAGAAAAGGACGAAGTGCCTGCACCTTCTTCATCTCCTATGGCATCACAATCTGCAAATCCTGCAACAGCTGGTGTGTATTATTTCAACAAGAGAAAATTGGAGGAGAAACTGAATGTGTTGGCAACAATTCAAGGAGGTTCGGAAAAATTAAGTACGTTATCTGATTCAAGTTCTGATGAGGAGAATGGACATGGAAATTTCTCCCTGATTGAACCTCTACAATCACTCAATCTGTCCGAGCAAACATCGTGCGATAAGTAAGCTGAATATCTGCCTTCTTTTGTTTCTGTTCAGAGCTTGATTTGATTGTAGTCTTTCCTGGAAGCGCTTCTTTGACTTACCATCCATAGAGCATGGAAAGATGCGCACTTCCGGATTCAGAGCTGAGATATGTTTGCAAACCTCAATCAGCTACTAGGTCATTATAGTTTTCTACGATTTACAATTACAAAACTGCATGAAGTAATGACGTAAGAAGACTAGAAAAATTTTTGTTATTTCCAATGAGATGGAAGATACGTGATTTATCCACTTTCTTATTCATTCATCGAATCATCAGTTTCAGGATGCAGAGTGTTCTCATATATTCGCTTTTTTTGAGTGAAACGAGGATATGCTGTCAGATAAATCTACTCTCTTAGTACGATAATTTCGACAGCATAACCCATGATCTATAATGATGTAAATTTTGATTATAGACATTTGCTCCAAATCGAAAGCAGTAACATCCTGAAAGCCTTCTCGTTTTAATAATTGCCTTTCTGTGAAAGTTGTTTGCTAACTCCATGGCGAATTTCGCAGAGATGGATTATCCGTATTATACAAAGGAAAGCCAGAACCTTACCCATCGTTCTCGACCGTCAAAGTGAGTATGGATGTTGTGAAACCAGTGAAAACTCCAGCAGCCAAGAAGAATCGCAGCGAGTGATTCTACTGCAATATCGAAATCCAGGTTGATGGATGATGAAATGTATAACATCTACCTATGGAAGAAATTTTTTGAAGAAAACGTGGACCTGGAGTTGTTTGTAAGTGCCGCCTTATTCCTGCTTATAAGCGTATGCCGATTTAATAGCTTTTAGAGGTACACATACTGTAGCAATTAAGTCGTGCAGAATCTTTCGTGCTTAATGCACCAAGTCTGCAGTAATAACAGGTCGCGCCTGAACGTACATATGCTTCTCCATTGGAATACAATATAGAGCATATGATATTTAAAAACTCTTAGAAAAGCGTTGGTATCTCGGCATCATAAGAACTGATGGCGTAAAGCTCCATATCTAAATAATCCGATTATGCTCTAAGTACGATGAAAACTGATAACATACAATGTTTGACGAATAGGACGAAATGAACCCTTATGTGCAACTGGTGGTTTCACTTTATAAAGCAGATGGAATTTCAAAATGGCAGGTGATAGAAGATCTCCGTTACCTCCAATCAATATTTTAGAATGTTTTAAGATCCTGAATATGCATTTGAAGTAGATCTAAGACGTGAAAGGTGAGCTCAATTGGAGGAGTTTACGGCAACAAGGCAGTGTGTTCCTCAAGTAGCTTTCTAACAGCCAGTTTCCTCTACAGTGGTCTAACTATGGTTGCTACCAGAAACTGGGAACAGAGAAGGTTCAAATGCCAGTACATCTTTGACATCGAGCACTTTGGCAAATGCTTTGAAGTCCCGTTTTGTGTACAAACCTACAGGAAGGCACCATGCCCAACTTCTCGTGACCAGATCAACCTCCATTATTGGAATACTGTTAGGCGGCTGGAAAAATAGCTTATCCTGAATCCCGAAGCATTTCACTCGACCAAATTTGGTAAGGAGATCCGTGGACATAGGCACGTGAAAGACGAACTTCCACTGGCAAGTAGCCTGGTTCAACTGGAATATATGTTTGTTAGTGTGTGTATCGTTCTCTGCAACGAGCACAACGCCTTCCGAAGACGCTACAAGATCCGGCAGCATTACGTGGTGACAGATGCGCATAGAGTTTAGATGATGAACGCGCGAGATATCCCCCATTCGCTTCCATGTGTCTGTCTTCACATCATATCGCAGGATGAACCACATCTTCCCAGGAAGTCGTCCACAAAAGTCGTTTTGCGCATACGCTACGAAATACGTGCACCCATCGTACGTCACAGCATTTCTACTTCCCGCAAAGACGGAATCTCGTGGAGGTGCACTACCTGCTGTCCATGAACCACTCTTCGAGTCGAACACTTGCACTCGCTGCCCTGAACGAGCGACAACAACTTTGAAGCTCATCGTGGTATCATCCACGATCAGACCAAAATTCGTATACATTTTGGATGTGCCGTGAGTCAATGGTGGAAGAGTCTTGCACATCATGAGAATAGGATTGCATACGAGAAGCTGGACTTTGGAGGATTTCCTCACGAATAACGCAGAAAAGGCGTGCCCTTTGGATGAGGAGGATGATGATGATACTGGAGAAGTCTCCAAAGCACATGTTTCGACTCTAAAGCATATCAAACCTGCCTCCGATGCTACCATTTTCATATTCTCTGGTATTATATGGTTCTCGGGGAACCGGAGGATCTTTCCATACAACTTTTTGCGGCTGCATGTGTAGTTGGAGACGACAGCAATATTACCACTGTCATGAGTAGTGCATATCCATAGAGATTTCTTTTGTTCTTTCTGTGCAGGACGACGTAGAACATGCACAAACTCTGAAAAAGATGACCTCCAGAACCTACTGACACCGCGCAAGCATTGCGCATCAGAACACTGGACCCGTTTCAGAATCTCGCAGAGCATGTCTGGGGGCAGTCTGCTCAATCTATCCTCTTCATTTAGAATCGCTGGTAGTTCTTCCTCCGAAGGCGATCCAAGTTGCACTCTTTTGACTGCTGCCGAATCAAGCGGAAGAATACAAAAAGAGGAGGGATCTGGACCGAATTCCACTTCAAAAGATTGCTGCCCTTGAAGAGAGCGAGTAGACCCACGGACTGAAGTCGATCCCGACATCTGGCAAGTGTCATCCATCCCTTGACAAGGCTGGAAACTGCACGTGAGTGTGTTTTAGAAAGATGTAGTTTCAGTAAGTGTAGTCATAACCACCGACCGTAAAAACAAACCCACTAGCTTCAGTTTTCCACACGCACACACTCTGAAAGTGATCCATGTCTGGGGAAAAGCAAGAAGCCTGTCCTCATGAAACCAGACATGAAGCCCCGATAAGACAAGGAAACCCTTTCATGACTTATTTCTTCACAATCGCACCCAATCTAGAGCTCATTCTGCGTTCTCTTCTGTTCATCAACCTGGTGGTTGAGCGCAGCCATGAGATGGAAGAGAGTGTGCGACCAATTGCCAAAGACCAGTGCAATGGATTTAACAGACATGAAGAGATTCCGCTTCTCTGAACGGGAAAGTAAGCACACGTATTCAAACAAGATGGTAGACACATGATGCCGTAGGGATTTGAAAGGAATATTGAAATTGCACTACAACTGGTCACCGACTGAACGTTCAACCTTCTGAGTTGTGATAACTGTTGAGGTTTGGAACGGCGAGCTAGCTCTACGATGGTTCTGTTGTACTTGAGGATAAATCTGATTTGAAAGGCAGAAAAACTAATTTCATGATTATTTCCGTTGCAGAAGGTCAACTACGCATTAACGAGGGACAACTCTAAGTTTACAGCTGACCTGGCTGGATCACTGAACCAACTGAACAACTGGATGATTCCTAGCGGATTGGACGTTGGTCGTAACTCTCGAGGAAGTGACGATGTTCGTAGAACACCGGGCCATGAGCTCCTCGTGAGATCGGGAGTCTCAGATAATGAGGTTGAACAATTATACACATGAACACGTCGATCTCGTGTACAAGTTCTCGTAATTTGATATGTAGAATGTAAAGTTGGCATGCAAGAATGAGGAGAACGAAAGTGTATTCATAGTGTACAAAATTCAGAATCATTAGTCTGGGACTGCATCGACCACGGAATAGTACGTAAAACTCGGCTCGATGTCTCAATGTATGCAGATCTGTCTGACAAAATGTACTGCCAAAATTTAGTGCTTTACACTTGATGAAGAACAAATATAGATGACGTGTCTGAGCTGTTCATTAAAGTATTGATAGCGAGCTGCTTTGCATGCTTGGACTTCATGTCCGGTATGATTACGTTGAACTTATAAATGTTGACATGCATAAATTATCTATATATATCAGATTAATCTGCCTTGCTCTTTCCAATTTGGATTCACATTTCTTTGGTTTGCTGGTGATATAGACGGATTATTTATTGCTTGATAATGCTTCAAGTAACCAATCTTTTATAACCAATGATTACATTCGTCTCCAACATTATCACTACAATTAATGAAAAGCATAATTCCATGATAAATAAACATAATTCAATAAAATCAAAATGCATTTTAAATTATTATTGGGATAAATTACATGTTCATTGGATGTATTAATGTTCATTATATCTAAAATTACCGGATGTACCATGAGTATCCAACACAATTAATCTATTTCACGTCGGTAGTGCAGTACATCCTGGTCTATGTTACTATACTACACAACCTAGGTACTGGATCCCAACATGACAACTGCAACTAAAATGCAAACAGAGAACAAAGTTATGTTCAATATAACTCATAAAACGTCGTCAAACTCTCCTGATTGAAAGTTCAAAACTTCACAATGCATCAAGGAACTACTCACGAAGCTTTCTGAGCTTTTAGACATGGAGAAGTTTATGCATCTTCTCCACTCGCTGACTCCATGTGGTAACACACTTTTTGTTTTTTTTTGCAGAATTTAAACAATTTTAGAAAACTAGTACCGAAGCAGTGTTTGTAGTTAGAAAAGGGTACGTTAAATAGAGTGGATTGAGGAGATCGTCACGAGGTCACGAAGAATCGCGTAGTCGGATGTACCAACGCCAATGTCTTCGGCGCCTTCGGCAAAAGCTCCTTTTCTGAGGTGTCTCTACTCACGCGCTTCCAGCGTTAAAGGAAGCTACGCTTCCGGCGCAGACACCTCAGGAGGAGATTTTGCTAAAGACGTCAGAAGAACGGCCCGGACCTCTGAAGGCTTCCGACCATGAGTGCGCCTTCGGCAATGCGCCGCTAGCGCGGAAAGGGAAACCTTCATAACGATCGGAATACACGGTAGTTCCAGTTGGTTGAAGTTGCATTAGAAAGAGCTCGGGACGCTCGTTCTAACGAGCCCAAGAGCGTCGGAGATGGATCAGGGACGAAGAAGTTATGAGCGTCGGAAAACTCGTAGCCGGACATGCGCCGTTCGCGGTAGGGTTCACAGTCGGAAAGGACTCCCGTACGCCTTCAGCGATGCGCCTTCGGCGGAATCACGCGCTCATGGGAGGAAATCAACTCAGAGTCGGAAGCGCCTTTGGCGGCTGCGCAACGGAAGAAACGCGCCGGCCGGATGTACGCCTCCGACGTGGCGCTGATAGCCGGACGCGCTGGCATGATATGCGCTGGCATGATTTGCGCTGGTATGACTTGCGCCGGCGGGATATGCGCCGTCAGCAATGGACGAGGCAGAATGGACAAAATAAGCGGTATGAATTGTAATAACCCACCAAAGGCTAAAACTGCAGTATGGTGGTAAAAAGATCGAACCCACAGGGACAGAGGCAACACACAGAGTAAAAGTGTCACATTTAACAGACTTTTGGTAGAGTTTGAATTCTAGGCGACTGTCACTCCCAGAAATACTGCAGTGCTCGACTCGGAGGCTCGACTCGGAGGAGGATCTCAACTCGGAGGATGCTCGGAGGATGCACAGTACAGCTTGGTCACTCAACACACACACACACACACCTGAAACTGGCAAAAAGCACAACTCGGAGGTCGGTCACGACCTCCGCTTCGGATTTCAGGAGGAAAGTGTCTCGCAAGTTCACTCAGAGGTTCTGCAGGAAGTGCCTCCCACTCCGGCTTTTACTGCCCTTCCGCCAGGAACTAGCGGGGGTACCCGGACTGGACTTCTCACTTCGGAACGAAGCCTCTACGTACGCCGTGGACGTCACCCTCGACTATCACACAAAACGCAGGGAGTGCAGACCCGACTGAGAACTTACTGAAAACACGATCCAGTAACACACACACAACCTGAATTACAAACCAAGGTTTACACGAAGTAATGAAACTTCACATTGGCATTCAGGGGAAACTTCCCGTAGGAGTACAATCAGGATATGTCACTCGAAGGAGTAAGGGGGAACTGTTCAAGTATCTAACTCGCAACCGGCTCTGAGTATCAGAAATCACCCGCAGGTGCAGATCCGCACTACTCAAGTCTCTAACCGGGTACTAGCTCTGAACATTCAGCCGAAGACCTTCAACTACAACATACGGTAACTTCGCTATGCTGCAGCTTCTCTACGTGGTGCCAGGACCAAAATGCACAAACACGCCAAGAAAGTGAGTTCCTGATCTGCACTTCCGAAACTGGAAGAGTCCCAAGGCAAAACGCCTTGATCTACTTTATACTCTTAAAAGATCCTAACTAGCACTACGCTATCCTATCTACCACTCGCAGCATCTGCGCGAAACCAAACTACTCTACTGCACTCAGCAGATCCGGTGCTGCGCCTCCTGCGCGCCGGACTGCTCCGCGTACTATCTCTACCTTGCCAGTCTTCCGACCGGCTGCGTAACCCCAGGCGTCGGAGCGCTGTGGTGACTTCCGACTGCAAGTGCGCCATAGTGTCGCGCGCACCCGACAAGAAGGTTTCTAATTTTCTCGCCACTCGCCGCCGACTCCGACTGTCACCTTCTGTCAATGCCGCCGCCCGAAGCTCGAACTCCCTGAGTGTGATCCTCTCTTGGGCTGCCACCTCCCAATGGGTGTATCCTTTTAGACAACGAGTCACCTGTGCCGCCAACTCTCCTCGCGCCCTGCAGCTGCTCTCCACCTCGGCCAGCTGCATTTCTAATCCCGCACGTTGTGCCCTCAAATCCGAGCACTCGGATTGCAAGTTGCACAACAACTCCTCATCCTCCTTGCGGGCTCTTTGACTTTCTTCTAAGGCGCGCGTCTGGCGCGCAAGCTCGGCTGCTAGGACTTCGTTCTGTCTCCGCTCCTCCTGCAGTTCCAACTCGATCTTTGCCCGTATTAGTTCGGCATCCGCCTGACTTTTCGTCGCCGCATCCTCCTTCTGCTGCTGCAAGGCTTGGTATAGCTTCTGGGTGACCGCCAGGTGTTGTTTGAGGGCGGTGTTCCTTTCCACATATACTTGGCAACTAGAGGCCCACTTTGCCACCTTGATCCTCGTCCTTCGCCTGATAGTCTCCACATAAGACTGCGGTTTTAAGGCACTTCCGTATTTGGATGTCTTGCGATCCAGATATCGCAGGAGTGGAACTATCTGTTCGCACAGCACCCCTGTTGGCGTTTTCTGCACCGAATCCGCTTCCTGCTCTTCCGAGCTCGTATCATCCTCAGTCTCGAGGATTTCAGTCGCCACCGAATCCCTTGGCGACTCCCTGGAACTGTGGCGCGCAGCAGCTTCTGCTGCGACTGCTGCTCCACTGCCTGCTAAAATATCCAGGGCAGTGGGAGATCCCACTGCTTGAGCCCCTGTTCCGGCTCGATCTTCGGTTTGTGAAGGGGTCGACGCCGCAGTGACTTTTGTCACTCTTGCACCGCCCGCTTCTGCTGCCTGTCCTTCCGGCGCAATCTGCGCGGAAGGTGTCCTTGCTGAAGGTGCGTCCGCCGAAGGCGTCCGCACACTGGTCGTTGGCCCCATCCGTCTCGCAGTCGGCGAATCCGGCTGACTCTCTGTTGTCCGACTCGCAGTCGGCCGACCAGCAGTTGTCCGACTGGGAGTCGGATACACCCTGCGCGTCTTGACTCCACTTGGCCTGCTTGTTGGGGGCGTTCTTCCAGAAGTGCCTTCCGCCGAAGACGACCCTTTGAGGATTGTTGGCTCGTCAGCCAAACTCTCTTCTGCTTCCGGCCTGCTGTCCGGTTCAACGCGCCGTTCAGTTGGCCTTCCTTCCGCTTGTCGACCTTCAGTCATCCGACTCGCAGTCGGCCGGCTGTCAGTCCGTCCATCTCCTCCCGAAGGCCGTGGTGCCTTCTGTGCAGAGGTTTCTGCCGTCTTCCCTAGAATCTGAGCGATTATCTCTTCCTGTGTGAGATTCCGCCGGGTCGGAGTTCGCCTGGTCTCCTCAGTAACAGTTGGCATTTTGCGTGCCCTCTGTTTTGGTCGACTGTGAGGCTCGGGGGTGGGCCGACCACGAGTCGGCGCAGCTGGTACTTCCGGCTGCCTGTCCTCAGGTCTCTCATCCCACTTCCGCTTTCGCGGAA